AATACACTTAAAACAGACCAATTAATAACCAGATTAATTAAAAGTAAACCTCACACAGAATCCACTTAACATTCTGACTTATATTTTGTAAATACTGACCTGCAGTTCTTTTCTGAATCATGTTTCGCTGAATGAAATGGAGTCGTTGAGGGAGAAGGTGTACTACACATGTGCTGCCTGTGCGGTGTGCTTCGAGAATCCGGGCAGATGTTTGAATCCGGAGGCGTTCGAGTAATGGCGTTCTTTTAGGTTTTATGTTGACGTGAACTTTCTTTTAGGACTTCTATCAATGGTGTTTTTGCAGGAACTCTCTTTTAGGTCTTGCATTAATTCGTACTATCTTTTATTGTTTGTATGAATGGCTCTTTTGTGCAAATTCGTTTAGTTTTTGTACCAATGGCCTTTTTGTGCGAAAATTCTTTTAAGTTTTGCATTAATTGCGTTCTTGTGCGAATTTTCTTATAGGTTTTGCATTAATGGTGCGCTCGTGCGAACTCTCTTTTAGGTTTTGTATGAATAATGCTCTTATGAGAATTTGATTTCAGGTTTTGTATCAATGATGCACGGGTGCGAATTATCTTTTAGGTTTGTAATAACGGCGCTCTTGTGCAAATTCTCTTCTAGGTTTTGCATTAAGGGTGCTCTTGCTCTTAGATATGGTTATCGAGTGAAAGTAAAATGTTATTTAAAGAGACTGCCCCCCCCCCCCAAAAAAAAGGCAGAAATTGGATTTTTGAGCAATGTGAGAACTTTTTGTCTGCAAGATAGTTATCCAAACTTGCCAAGACTTTTAAAAAGCATTTAAATTACGTTTTTTCCACGAATTTGATCTATATTTTTCAATTGATAAAGGTCCCTCTTGTGGTTACTAAGCCCACCCTTTTTGGATACTTGCAGCCCTGTCTACGAGTTTGCATTTAAAAATTAATAGTTACCCTCTAAAACGATAGCTAATACAGAAAATGTACAGCCGATTGTCAAAGATAACGATTTAAAGGAGTGACTTTATCAATTTAGCACTTTCTTTGAACCTGTAGGAACTTTTTCTGCTTATTTTAAAGAATATTACAGGCAGACCAGCATATGTGTTTGTGTATTTGTCTACATGTGGGTATATCTGTGTGTACGTGAGTTGCGTGCGTTTATGTTTCAGAAAAGTTACTTTTGTTAGAACAAAAGTACTTATAAAATCTACGTACTTGGTAGGGCTTTATCTACGTTGTTATCATTATCCTTGTAAACAATATCTGTATTTAGGCCAACCCTTTAGGTCAAAGGTTATTCCATCATGTAGTCATTACAAGCACTTTCTCATTAAAGTTAGAATATAGTGACAGTCATAATCATTAAACCCTCAAGTGTATTAAATAAAAAATACTATTATGTGTATGTGGAAAATCAGTTATTTAGTAATTCCACTGACAAAAAAAAAAAAAAATGTAAATGTGACAGATTAGACCGATGACCTATTCTGAAATCGCCTAACCTCGACCATAGTCTTTTGATCGCAATTTTGGCTCCTCCCACCACTGTACGATGGTAGTTAAAAGACCAGACTCATTCTCCTCTTTTCTTCCTCCTTATCCTTCTCCTATCCCCACTCTTCCTTCCCCCCCCCCCCCTTCTTTACACACTATCTATCTATCCTCAGTTGCAGATTCGCCTCGCTTGAGTCCGATTTCACGGCGAAATAAAGGCATCATTTTGGGAAGTCAAGCACAGGTGCCCGATGGACCACGGTTTATGAGGAAGGGCGACCAATAAGGCAAGGCTGGTACTGTATACTTATGTATGTGTGCATGTATACATATGTGTATATATGTTATATACATATGGATGATATATATATATATATATATATATAATATATATATATATACATATATATATATATATATATATATATATATATTATATATAATATATATATATATATGTGTGTTGTGTGTGTGTGTGTGTGTGTGTGTGTGTGTGTGTGTGTGTGTGTGTGCGTATGCGTGTGTGTGTATACATATACATACATACATACATACATATATATATATATATGTGTGTGTGTGTGTGTGTGTGTGTGTGTGTGTGTGTGTTGTGTGTTGTGTGTGTGTGTGTGTGTGTGTGTGTGTACATATATATATATATATATATATATATATATATATATATATATATATATGTATATATATATATATATATATATATATATATATATATACATATTATACATACATAATATTCTATATATATGCAATAAGTAATAGACAGAAATAGAAGTGAGAGATGAAACGCATGATCAAAATGGTCCTTGAACAAGAAAATAATTAAGCAGCAGTAGACCAAATATGGCTATTGCATGAAAAACTGCGCCATTTAAATGTTTTCATTCTACAAAACGATATAAAGATATATAATAATAATAATAATAATAATAATAATAATAATAATAATAATAATAATAATAATAGCAATAATTGGCATTTATAGCTTGTTAAGCCATGTATACACATATGTACATTGGGAGAGTTTATTTTCTTAATATCATATAAGAATACTTACAAATTTGCTATCAATATAATCAACACGCACATCTATGTACATATTTACCATCACTGTCCCAAACTGACAGATGAGTCTTTAAAATCTTATCTTAAAGATTGGTTATATGCATTAACATCTCAATTTATAACAAATGCCATTACACAGTTCACACACGAATAACAATATCCGTATTATCACATCACAATGCTAACCCGTACAAGCATTACAAATAAAATTTGGTATCGTAAAGAAATATTTGGTATCGTAATAGCTTATCAGTATTAATTTAGTCATAGGAGGTGCTCTATAGTACTAGAAACACTGAGTCACTCAGTTGTAAATCAGAGAATATATGTACTGTAAATAAATAAATAAATAAAACAGAAATACACGTAAAGACATACACACACGTATGCATAAACGTGTGCGTGTTTGTACTGTACTTATATTCTATATACGCATATTATACATACATACATATATGTACTTTACATATACATATAATACACGCACGCACGCACGCGCACACACACACACATCTAAATGTATTTGTGTGGTATCAACTCAGCTAAACCATATAATTAAGAAAGAAATGAGGAACAGAAAGGCATTAATTAAATAGTAGAGGTCCCGCTGGGGTTAGCAGAAGGTCCAGTCCACATGGGCGGGTGGCCTGCAGGGAACGGGGCAGGGCGGCAGGCTCTCCGCCACGCCCATCTTGGTCCTCCCGAAGCCTGTGTAGTTCCGGCCATCACGCTGCGTTGGGAAGGGTCGTGGGCGTTGGCGGAGACCACGGAACTCCTTGGCGCGGCAAAAGTAACTGTCGTGGCTCATCTGAGAGGAGAAGGGGTGGGTGGGCGGACGTCAGCACAGGTGGGCGTTGGGAAAACTGTGGCTGAACATCGACGTGTGGACAGATCCGATATCCACAGAGTCACAGATACAAAGACATCCAAGTAAGGAAATAATCTCTTAACACTGCAATAGCCATATGATTGACAATTGTTATTGAGTGAATTTGTGAGTACATTAAGTCAAGCAATGGAAATATACAATAGATATGTCGCTTTGACAGAAATGCTCAAAAAGTAATGATATATTACTTGTCAACTCTTGCAGTTTCCCTTGTAACAAAGATAGAACATATTATTTACCATACTATCTTTTCAGGACGATAAAAAATAATCACAAATACTTCTAGATTTCTGCTAACCATTCATCCATAAGACTACGTGAGATCTCGTTATCATGACTGTACCTGGGCATTTTAAACAACAGATGTGTATAACAAACCTCTCTCTCTCTCTCTCTCTCTCTCTCTCTCTCTCTCTCTCTCCTCTCTCTCTCTCTCTCTCTCTCCCTCTCTCTCTCTCTCTCTCTCTCTCTCTCTCTCTCTCTCTCTCTCTCTCCTCTCTCTCTCTCTCTCTCTCTCTCTCTCTCTCCTCTCTCTCTCTCTCTCTCCCTCTCTCCCTCCCTCCTCTCTCTCTCTCTCTCTCTCTCTCTCTCTCTCTCTCTCTCTCTCTCTCTCTCTCTCTCTCTCTCTCTCTCTCTCTCTCTCTCTCTCACCGTGTCCTCCTTGATCCTGGGCCACAGCACGCGCCTCAGCAGCCTCTGGTCGTAGTCCCAGATGTCGCTGAAGGGCTGCGAGAGCATCACAGCCGCGGCGTCGTAAGCGAGAGCCCGCGTGAGGGACAGCCTGGCGCCCCATAGACCTACCGATTGCCATTGTTTACTTTCGTGTTCCGTTTCGTTGTTATATTTTTGATTGTTATGACATATCTATCAATTATTATATTATTAGTATATTATATATTTTTTTAGTTATGGCATATCTATCAATTAGTATATTATTATGACATGTATACAAGTATAACATATTAACAATTGTAATATATTCATAAGTTGGTAAGGCACGTTTGTCCCAAAGTTAGTATATCCGATGAAACGTGTTTATTCCGAGGTATAGATGAAAATGGATATTCATAGCTCTTTTTATCTCCCATTTTATTTTCAAACTTAGTAAGTATATCGCACCCAAGGTTTGGTTTCTTAGTTAATGACTTTTCTAATTTTAGCGAGGTAGCCATATCATCTGCACCATTACTGTTTTATATATAATAAAAACGAAGTAGCAAATAACTCACTGCACTTCATTTTGTGTAATTTAGGTTACAGACACAACCAATGATCTCCCTCTTCCTTTCTTTACCTATTTTGCTGATCTTTCACACATCTCTCTTTAGTCTTAGTCTCCATTTCCTCTCCTGCCTCCCCTCTACCTTCCTCTACCTCCCCACTCTCTTTCCCTCCTCTCTCCCTTCCCTCCACTCTCTTTCCCCTTCCTCCTCTCTCCTCCCCTTTTCCTCCTTTTCCACTCTCCTTCCTCCCCTCTCTCCCCCCCCTCTCTCCTCTCTTTTCCTCCCCTTTCCCCCTCTCTCCTCCTCTCCTCCCTTCCTCCCTTCTTTTCCTCCCCTTTCCCTCTCTCCTCTCCTTCACTCTTTTCCTCCTTTTCACTCATTCCCTTCCCTTCCCTCTCCCTCTCTTCCCTCCTCCTCCTCCTCCTGCCCTTCCCCCTCTATTCTCTTCCTCTATTTCCTCCTCCTCCTCCTCTCCTTTCCTCCCCCCCCCCTTCCTTCCCTTCTTTCCTCCCCTTCCCCTCCCCCTCCCCCTCTCTTTTTCTTCCCCCTCCTTCCTCCCTTCCTCTCTTCCCCCTTCCCCTCTCCCTCTCCCCTCCCCCCCTCTCTCCTCTCTCTCCCCTTCCTCCTCTCTCCTCTCCTCCTATCCCCCTCTCACCCGCAAGCACATATCCGTTATGCGATGGATGGTCCCTCATGAGGTGGAAGGGGAGGGAGGAGGTCAGCCACTCCTTCACGGCCCTCCCCGCGGCAGGATGTACGAGTCCAGGTCACGTGACAAGACGGCGTCCACCAGCGGGTCAGCGAAAGCCACGAAACGCCACAAAGTTCCTACCTGGAAAAGGACATTCGGAAGGAGAGAGAAAGTTGAATCGAGTCTAGGAGAAGGGATGAGGAGTGTAAAGGTAAAAAATAAGTAGGGATAAGAAGGATAAAAAAAAGAAAGAAGGGAAAAAAGATAAAACGTTACGATTAAAAAAATATGAAAAAATGAAACGTAAAGAGCATAATAGAAAAGAAATAGAGATAAAAAGTAAAAAGAGAGAGAAATAAGTTAAAAATTCATACGAATTAACATTTTTTCAAAAAAAACAATTCAAATATTTCAGTACAAAAAAAAAATATTTTAAGTCTTCCTCCCTGACCTTCTGCGACGCCTGCAGATCCCCCAGGTGGAGCAGGTCATTCACGTCGCACAGTCAAGTGCGGAAAGCGCAGTGGGCGCACACCGCCGCCCCGCCCACGCTCGTCTCCCGGCTCGAGCTTGTAGTACACCCGCATCACCCAACCTGTGGAGACACACACAACACACACCACACACACACATTCGTTGTCATGCATAACTACATTATATTATTTTCTGTAAGCAAGGTTGATATAAGGTTCACAGCTTGCATTGCATAAATTGTTATATTTTATTTTGTACGGAGGTTATTAATAGGGCTAACAGCTGTCATGCATAACTTTGATTAGATTTTTTGTAGCAATGAGTTATATTATGGTCTACAGCTGTCATGACAACACACCACATATTATTATTTTGTACGCAAATGGTTTAAATAGGTTCTACAAGCTTCAATGCATAACTGGTTACTAATCTGAATCAACACCAAAAAAAGGGTTTATTATAGATACAGCTCGTCATATTATGAGTGATGAAATTTGTTTATAATTACCAGCTCCTTCTTGGGGTATGTTTGGGAATCGGAGTTGCAGACTCGTAATCAACCATCCATACTCATAATACGTTTGGCATTGGTAAACTTATTTGAATGTGCATGACAGCAATCAACATACATGTCAAAAGACAACACACACACACAACTCTCTCCTCTCGCCTCTCTCTCTCCCTCTCCCTCACACACACAAACACCACACACACTCTACTTCTCAACACGCACACACACACACCACACACACACCCAATCTCTCTCTCTCACACACACACACACACACACGATACCTCTCTCTCTCTCTTCCTTCCCTCATCACACAAACAAAACACACAGGCCATCAGACACCACACGATTGATAGATACTAAAAAAAAATAGTACAACTTACCATAGATCCTACAGACAACTCACGCAGAATATCGATCAACCCCTGCCCGCTTGGAATACTCGAGAAATACTGCATACACGATCGGTCAGACCGCTTGCCATAGTAAACTGTACGCACCACCTACCAAGGGATCGGAGAGTAAAAATGCCTGTTATAGCGTCATCAGCGATACTGAACTTGCAATTTTCACTAACACAACAACACATACTTTCTAGCCGCCAACTGTCTTGAGGCAACCACTTTTGTTTACCATATGTTTATTGCAACCACTCAGGATTTTTAACCATAATTACGTAATCTAGACCAAAAGCACTAAACTACAGTAATGACCCCATATATCGTCACGGTTAGCATTACATTCAACTCGATATCGTGACCAGCAGCCTCATTCAAAACAACCGACAAGACTGTTCTGGTGTGGCGTGTGTGTGTTGGTGTGGGGTGGGTGTGTGTGTGGTGAAAAATACGTGCGTCTGGGGCGTAAAACAATTAATATATGTAAGATGTATTGATGCGCTGTTATGGTGTAAACGCTGCGTGTTGTTGGCGTACATATGTATATGTATAATAGTAGTATGCGTTCGGGGTATGTGTAAGTACGTGCGTGTGGTGTGTGGGCTCCCACCCCATGGTATGTATGTAGTATGAGTACGAAATTAATGATGACAATGTATTAATAAGTGTATAAGTAGGTACGAGTAATATAGATGGTAGATACACACACTGCAATATGTAATCCATACTAATTAACCAATGTATAAATGTAACCCACTCATAGTAGAAGCATGCTACCAAACAGAGATATTATTTGAATATGTAGAGACACACACACAATGCTGTATGGTGTTGATATAAATATAGATAGATAGATCGTGACCCCCACCACACACACTGTAAATAAGAGTATAAGTATAATATTAATGAAATACGTATTACACACACCCACAGTAAGATATTACAATGATTGAAATATATTAACAACTCACAATCGTCCCTGAGCGCAAACACCCCTCACCAAGACCTTGCCCTAACCCCGCGGCGCCCTCGCGTCGCGACGGGAGCAGACGACCCGGCACACACCAGCCAAACAAGCGGTCGTCCTCAAGCGCGTTGAAAAGCGGCAAAGAAAACGTGGAAATGAATTGAATGAATATGCGATGTTCCTCTCAGTATCCATTTCTTAGTACTGTTTATAATCTGAACTGATCTATGTAAGTGGATGTAGGTACAATTAGAAAAGGCGGCGGACATGATGTAGTGATGATGGTGATGATGCTATTACGTCTATTGTGATAATGATGATGGCGATGGTGATGCTAATAATGATGGTGATGAGACGAAGAATAAGATGATGTGATATTAAGATGTAGCAAAGCGATGCAGGGACACATATAAAGAAATAAAAGATACAAAGAAGAATAAAGATGATAAGAGAGAAGCAGCAATTAGAATAAAGATGCTAAACTTGACAAAGGGCACTCTGGTCAGACCTGCGCAGGATGACATGACCTGGAACGACCTCCTCGGCAGCCTCCCTCACACACCCGCATCCCGGCAGTGTGTACGTCCTGCGATGTGGCCCAGAATGACCTGTTTCTAGGTCAGCATGGGTCACCGCATCCGCCACTATCTCCTCTGTGAACCTGCTTTTATTGACCTTGCTTATCGTTTTGTCCTCAACCTCTGGGACACCTGGAAGGGGAGATCTAAGGTCAAGAAGAGGGATACTGAAACGTTAAGAGTTCTATGTTATAGCCGTATTGGTAACATGATTGCGTGATGTGGAGAATTTAAGTAGATTCTACAGGGATAGACATAGAGATAGGTAGATAGATAGATAGAAAGGTAGTATATAGATGGCTAGCTAGCTAGCTAGCTACAGACAGACAGATAGACAGACAATAGATAGACAAATAGATAGATAGAAGTAGAAAATAGAAAGATAGAAAGATAGATAGATAGATAGATAGATAGAGGTAGATAGATATAGATAGATAGATAGAGATAGCAGATAGAAGAAGGATAGGATAGATAGTAGTAGATAGATAGGATAGATAGATAGATAGGAGTAGATAGATAGAAGATAGATAGAATGAAGATAGATAGATAGATAGGACATAGATAGATATAAGATAGATAGATAGATAGATAGATAGAATAGGTAGGTAATAGATAGATAGATAGATAGATAGATAGATAGATAGATAGATAGATAGATAGATAGACAGATAGATAGATAGATAGATAGATAGATAGATAGATAGACAGATAGATAGATAGATAGATAGATAGATAGATAGATAGATAGATAGATAGATAGATAGATAGATAGATAGATAGATAGATAGATAGATAGATAGATAGATAGATATAGAGAGAGAGATGCAACAACCTTGTACAGAAAGAGCAGCAAACGACGCCAAGACTGCAATTGTGTATTATTGAAAACGCCTCTGGACAGATGATGAGACGAGAGAGAAACCAGACAAGAACCGGGGAAGGGAGGGGGGTCTTTTAGCTCTGAAATGGAGTTTTTTTTTCTCTCTGAAACGTGGATCCTGAATGACCTTTCGAAAGCGAGGTCATGAAAGGGTCTCTTTAACGGAGGCCGGATGTGTTACCGGCTTGGTACTTTTTTGGGATTATTGGCGATAAGCTTTATATAACGATATACGTAGTGAGAAAGTAGCAAAGCGTATGACAGGTAGCGAGAATGAAAGTAATAATAATACTCGCATTTCTCGTTAGTTGGTTACAAGAGCCATGTCATAGGTTGGTAATAATAACTAGTAACAGTGCTCCGTAGGTGGTACCAAGCGGATGTCACGAGTGACATCCGCTTGGTACTAGGCAAGTGGAATGCATAGTTGTACACCGTTAGTAAATGTTTTGTTAAGTTTGTAATATAGGTGGTGCTACTGTCTGTGTGTGTGTCTGTGTCCGTGTGTGTGTGTCCGTGTGTGTGTGTCTGTGTCTGTGTGTGCGTGTGTGTCTGTGTCCGTGTGTGCGTGCGTGAGCTTATTTGTGTAGTGTGCATGTATATTTTGTGTAGTGTGCAGGTATATTTGTGCGTGCTTATATTTGCTTGTGTATACTTATACTCACCAAGGCTGGCGGGCTTAATCGTGTAGAAGAGCTCATCCAATCCTTCCTTCAGATTTTTCACGTAATCCTTGAAGAGCGGAAGCCCAAGGAGGCCATTGAGCACCTTCAGCGGCTGTTCTTCAGCTTTCCTCCTCTTCCCCTTCTGCTTCTCCTCCTCCTCTTCCTTCTTAACTTGCTTACTACCTCCTTCAGGATGCGAACGAACACCTCCAATTCCTGAAGGTGGTGGAGCGACCCCAGTCACATCCTCGCCTGACGGAGATGGCGCGATTTCGTGAAGTCTGGGCGCAGATCTGGCCACGCCCACGTCCTCCCTGACGACTCCTGATTGGCGGGAAGGCAGGTTAAGCAGCAGACAAGCGAAGACCACGCACGTTAGGAGCAATGGGACTCTTTTCCAGGGCGCCATTTCTTAGTATTTTTATTTTCTTTATTTTTTTAAAGGTAGATATATTTGTATCGACACTGTGCTTATTGTGTGTGGATATTTTTCTTCATCTTGTTCATATTCTGATGTTGATATTTTTCTTCATCTTGTTCATATTCTGATGTTGATTTTTTCGATGTTCTGATTTCCTGTTTTATTAATCTAATTAAACAGGCTTTCCTACCGATAACAGGAAAGTTGTATGTGATTTTATTTTTTCTCAGTTGGAATTACGTATGTGATATATTTATTTCTAAATAATCATCAGTTTCCTTATTCCTATTTCTCAAAGCACCAGTCACTCTTTCCGACTAATTTGGTGTTCCTAATAACTGCTTAATCTCTGGAAACCCTTCCGCACTTGGCTTCGAACGCTTCAATGCCTCGCTTGCCTGTCATAACACTCGCTTCAAATTTGCTTTGCGTGTGAATTTGATTACGTCTTCATTATTCTCTACGCTGGAATTGCGAGTGAAATCTCAGGTACAGTGAAACAAATGATCGAAAAACAAAAGCAAAAGTGACAGTGGAGTGACATGCGAAGCGGACTCCCGTTAATGGGCGAGAACTTGTAACGGTAAACAGTAGGGAAGGGGGGAGTGGAGGGGGGGGGGCTTATTTTCATACCGCTTGTCTACACCGTGAATGGGCGGCGGCGGTTCGCGTAACTGTTTTTCGTTTTTCTTCTGTGTTTTAATACTTCGTTGCGATATTGAGGTTATGAATGAGGTCGTTTATTATCTGGTTGTATGGTTGTTTATTGAAGCTGGATTCAAAGTTTATTTTGCTGGGTGTATGCTTTTACGATACGTTTTATTTACGCTAAGTTAATTCATGGTACTCTATCACAAACTTTTTTTAACAGCTGTGTTTTTTCTCTGCGGGAGAGCGAAGCAATTGCACCTTTTTTCCTCTGAAAATTATGTCAGTAATGCTGATACACATTCTCGCTGTGTTTTTACAGCTCCGAGAATAAGAATCATGATTCCTTTTTTGTTAATTACTTTTTCCACGTTTCCTGTAGCACAACTATCATTCGTTGTTACACACACAAACCACAAAACACTTACACCGATCTGTTTTTTTTCTATGACAATGATCGCACCGCCTTAATTACGTTTAAGAGATAAAGCATTCCGACTTCACGTACTCAGTCACCACTCATACCTCGGCGCTCGCTCTTAGGAAACTACCGTGTGCTGCGTCTTTGAAGCTTTCCAACCTTCTGTACCGCCCCCTCCTCGTCCCCTCCCCTTCTCTCTCTACCCTCCTACTCCCCAACCCTTTCTCTCTACCCCCTTCCCCCTAAAACCCCTGCGAAGAGGTTACCAACTAGCCATGAGCTTCATTTACATCAATGGGCTGCTAATCAACCTATTCCCTTTGGAGCAATGTGATGTTCGAACAGCTGTGTGTCGCTAAGGTGTTTTAACAGCTGAAGTAATTATATATATATATATATATAATATATATATAAATATATATATAATAATTATATAATATTATATATAATAGATATCAATAATATATGTATATATACATATAGAATAAACATATATATAATATATACATATACATATATATAATAATATAATATATAATATATATTATATATATATATATATGTATATATAATATAATGTTATATATAATGTTTATATGATATTATATATATATATATATATATGCATACATAATAGTATATTATAATATATAATATAATATAATATATGTATAATACACATATATATATATATACACAATATATGTATATATACACATATATATGATAATATATATATATGTATATATACACATATATATATGTATATATACACATATATAGTATATAACATATATATATATATGTATATATACACATATAGCATATATATACATATATATGTATATATAACACATATTATTATACATATATATTATATATAAATACATATATAATATATATATATATATAATATATATATATATTATAAATACATATATATAAATAATATTATAATATATATATATATAAAATAATATATATATATATAAAATATACATGTATGTATATATAAATATATATGTATATAATACAAATATAAACATGGAAAAAAAAAATATATATATACACACATATTTATATATACATATATATATAATATATTATATATATATATATATATATATATATATATATATATATATATATATATATAATATATATATATATATAATATTATATAATATTATAAATTACATATATATATATATATATATAAAGTATATGTACATATATATATACATATATGTATAACATGTGTACTTATTCATATATATCTATACATATATATTATATATATATATATATACATATATATTATATGTAAACTGTATAAAAAACTAATGTAAATAAAAACTTCTGAAAAACATCATGAAAACATGATTTCATTGAGAAATATCACAGAAAAAGAGTGTGAGAGATATATGCTTGGAGGGACAAGATCTCCAGCCTTATAAAAGCAAACTAATCATAAAACACTCTAAATTGCCATCAAAATAATAAAGAAGATAAAGAAAACTGATATGAAACTGAAGCTGTAAAGTAGATTTAATGTCATTAGCTATCCTTATGGTCTTGTGAAATGCAGTAGGAAACCATTTCAAGGTTATAACACAAACATCTGAATAAATATACAAAATTTTTATTTATAATTTTACAACACTTCTAACTGCTACATGGAAATCTCTTTAGAGGGAGGGAAGGAGGGAAGTAGAAAGGGAAACATTGGAGTGAGAGGAAGAATGGGACAGGGGGAGATACAAGGTAGAAATAGAAACAGAGAAAGAGAGAAATGGGGGTTATTAGAGGAGATAAAGAGGGCACTCGCTAAAGGGCAAAATAATATTCTTGCATTATCAACAAAATGAATACAGAACAAGCCAATTATCCAAATACACGCTTTATTAAATCGAAAATGCACAAAAACCTTCAAATGCATTTTGACTCCTTGCAAGTACAACCAAACAGAGAAACCATCATGATCCAATAGGGTTAGAAACATTTCTATTGTCTAGACAAACAACCACATTTACACTCTGTAACAATAAAGTCAAATATGTTTTTTAATCAATATTAGTCACCATCAAACCAGCCAGAATATGACATTAACTGCGTGTTATAGCACAAAATACTCTAAACACTTCTCATTTACTCTATAGCAAAACTTCATCTATACCTGTTACCTAAAAAAAAAAAAAAAAAACTATCACTTCTATAATTCAACAACAGACTCTTGCTAATTCAAGATTTTCTCTTTCTTTAACTGGATGTAACCATTCAAAAATTGGCCATACATCAGCATTGCACTGAAAAGCAGCATGATTACAAAGAGAGATCCTACTCTTTGTACAGTTTGCTTCTCATTATGAATGGATTGGTAAAACTTGAATATGAATGGGATTTTGTCTTTATTTGGTATTTCCTAATATTCTCATACATACATAGCTGACATGTTTTAAATCGTATCTATGCATAAATTATGTGTATATATACATATATATGTATATACAGATTTACAAAGAAATTAGTATTGCCTTGTACAAAGCAGCCATTCCATTCATAGATATACAAGTATATAATATTAATCTTACCACACTAAAGATAGCAATAAGGGTTACAATAACAAAAGTTTAACAAAACAACTTTTTGTAAGTCATTATTGCAAGAGCCATAATAAAATGAAAGCAAATCTTACTTTTTTCCAGAACATTATGAACATTATCTGCTGTTTTTTTTCTCTGAAAATTATGAAAAAATGATACGTACATAATCAATAATATTATAAATCATGATTAATAATACAACACATATAATTCCGAAAATCTTCTTCCATATTTGCTCTAACACTTCCTCAACTGAGCCATTCTAATATCTAAATCAAAACATTTGTATACTTTCATTCCAGTCATCCATTCCATGAAAGCAACCACCTGAAGCCTTTGAAACACTTCAAGGGAAAACACTACATGACTGATATTTAACCCACTGATTCCAAGATGGGGGATGTATATGCCATGTCCCCCTTGAATTCGGTTTATATATTTTCCTTACACATAGACGGCTTCAGAATTATTAGTCCTATCTTATCTCAACTTTTTACCCATTTCCTTGATATTCGAAACAATTCTTGCATTTATTTCATATTGCCATTATTATTGATAATATTAACAACAATTATAATAATGACAATGATAATTATAGTAATAACAACAATAATAACATCTAACTGTTTCCTTGAAAACTGAGGGATTGGATAACAGGTGATGTCAAGTAGACCAACTAATTGATTCCTTGGTGAACTTGTGATGCCATCTATGTATAAGCAAATATAAGAAAATCACACACACACAAAATATATCTTGAATTTCAACTTACTTGAGTATATTGTTTCAATTATGGCTAAAACCACACAAACAATAGGTAATGACAGTATTGCAGTTTTATATGCATCAGTATCTGTGTGTACTACTGTCATCAACTTAATTGATAAGAACTATGTGGCAGACAAGGGAGGGGGGGGGGGTAATAAACTGCACCCCTAAAGGAGGCAGTGTTTTAAATGCAGTTTTTCATGAGTATGTGTGTCCTTTATTTCCGTATACAGAAACTATATTAACCTGGAACTCCAACATATAGCATTAATCTGCAAAAAAAGGTGTTTGTTCCCGCCAGATTCCATATTACAATCTCACATCCTCGTATTACTCTATCCTCCCCCCCTCCAACCCTTAATATATCTCCTATCCACCAAAGTTGATAACAGCTTTTAATGGGCTCTTCCTACATGGTTTATACTAACATGATTAGAGCTGGTACTAATGCAGCATTTTATTCCAAAGAAATGGACACATAGTTCCCTGATAGTTGTAGGAACAACCTGCTTAACTTTCTGTACTTTTGTATTACATTTGTATTGTATTCTTTAAAAACAATAAAACAAAAGACAAATAACAATGCTTTCCTTTTCATTCAAACATGAAAAGTTTTCTACATGATCTTTTAGCATAGTTAATTGCAATAAACTGAACTGCATTAATAAATCATATATTGTAGCAATGCATTAGGATTCTATTTTACATAATTTTTAACAATATAAACAACTGATCACCCATCAATGCCACTAACATAAGATTTCCTGGCAAGTGTAAATTCAAATTGCACTTCAGAATATTTTTGTATAATGGATATTTCAGACACTTGATCTACTCTGTTGATAATGACAGAAGACTACTATCTATACTGTGAAACATTCTTACTACATAATCAATGATTTTACAATATTCATACCCTAAACTAGTGATAGCTAATCATTCAAGCAAAAATTGAATTGGCACTACTGAATTATACTGCCAATTTAAACTTAATAGCGATGATTCTCTGTTGTCAAAACTAGGATGTGTCATCATATTTCTAACTTGAATTTGTGACAAAAGAATTATTAGTATTTCAGAACTCTTTTCTGCTACCGGAACACTAGCAAAAATATATATAATCCTATAATACTTTCCATAACAGAATGATACTCTACACCAAATAAATTTTCTTCTGTTCTGTGGAAAGGTATGAATGAGAATGAATGTCTTAACAATGCAAGAGATTTATTTCACCGATTTCGATTATATCGTCAGAAATACATGTATTTCTGACGAAGATATAATCGAAACTGGTAAGATACATCTCTTGCACTGTGAAGACATTTGTTCTCATTCATACCTCTCCACATTTGTCAACATGAATATGGTTCATTCTTCTGTTCTCCAAATCATACACTTTGATATCTAAGCAATAAACAAGGTAACAATGACACAAGAATTTACAGGCTTGTATAAAAGTAGCAAAACTAGAAAAATACCTTGAACGAAAAAACTACTTGGGTGAAGTCTGGATCCTTGTTCATGGAGCTTCTAAAGCAAATATGAATGAAAAGACAAGTAGACTTAGCATGTGTACTTTTAAGAACTTATGTGACTTTGCATTATGGTGTCCATTCTAAAATCCGCACACGCAAAAAACAGACAGTAGTTATTCGTCTTTCCACCTAATCCTAAATTCTGCATCAGACTAAATATTCATCTTTTAGGGTCGAGCATTAAGTTCCATAGAATATAATCTAATGGTCGATTGAAAGGAATTATCACAAAATCCTTCTCTCTCACATACTAATCATAATTCAAGGCAAATGTTTATTCTAATGCCAAATAGAAAAATGAACTACATTGTTCCAGATCAAGCAATTATAAGTACCTCTTTGTCTATACCAATAAAACTTCTATCACAGTCATTATTACTGCCAGATTCCCTACCTTGGCTTCATATGGCACAAAAAATAACTTTGCTAAGATAGATGTGTCAAGGCTCAGATTTCTATGGAGTAAGCATTCCCATAATGTGAGTTCAAGAATGAACTTCATCGGATTAGAGTCATGTATGGAATGCTTTCACAAGCATTTGTTATGTGATGGAAGTAATGCAGATATAATAGCTTTAAAATTACATGATCTGTCAAGTGGTGTAATTCTTGTTTCGAAATTCCCTACTGGCATTAATATAAATACTGACCCAAAATAAAGATTTCAGTATATAACATACCACTTACTTAACCTGATGAAACAACCCACTGCAGCACCTAAATTCAGAAGAAGAAAAAAAAAGGAGAAAAAGAAAATGAAAAAATGAAAATCAGCAACTGCTATGAATAACGTCTGTATTAATACAGGTACAGAAATTAATTTCACTTTCAAACAAATGTTTATACTTTACACAAATTTCTTTTTCCTTCTGGGAACATGCTAAAAAATACCTTATAATCAATTACCCTACAGATGGTTCCTTATCATTATTAATATTTTTTTTTTACCTCATTCAGGTCCAGGGAAGTCTTCTAAAATCCTTTTAAACTTTCATATTTTATAATGAATGAATCATAAACTATATCTAAGTCTAAAACAATTCTGTAACAAATTCTATTTCAATGTGTTGCTTCTGCCCTGGTCTAGTGTTACACTTCCCTGCAACTATTAACCAAAACCTAGACTAATATAGTCCATTTTGACTCAGATATAATGAAATATATACCTGTAATATCACTACTATTATCACTATATATGCTCCCAACATACCCTTTCAAAACAAAGAGCAACCATAAGAGGGAAAAATATAGAAAACAACATTTA